GACTGGATACTACACCAAAGACTACTCTTGCAAAGCGAAGTACTTGAATATCAGGAGGATCTTTCTCAAGATCTGTAACCCAAAGAAACCTAAGAGTGTCTCTGTCCTGGGGTTTGACAGAGATCATTAAAAAAACCTTCTCTACGTCGGCTATTAATGCAGTGTGATACAGCCTGAACCTCAATAAGATGTCTAAAATATTCTGATCAAACTTAGGTCCGGTATATAAGCAATCATTCAAGGAGAAGCCATCTTCTTTTGCCGAAGCATCATAAACTATTCTGAGCTTTGTTGTCTCCTTGTCTTGGCGAAGAACGGCATGGTGTGGTAGATAATGTGTATTGTCAGTTTCTGACTGCTCTGGATTGCTGACAATTTCAACTATACCCTTGTCTATCTGGTCTTTAATGACTGCATCATATTCTCTTATTATATCCGGATTCCGTCTCAAGCGATGAAGTAAGCTCATCAATCTATTATAACATAAGCGATAATTATCCGGCAATTCGAGTTGTGAGACCTTCCATGGGAGTGGAACTTCGTATCTGCCATCATGAAACGATATATTCCTCTCAAAGTCATTGACTGTTACGACATCATCCTCCAATATTCCAAGAGATTCGATTTCCCAGAAGGATCTCAATTGTTCATCAAGACTCTTCAACCCACTCACCTGAAGAGTGTGAGTAATGAGAGTAGCTGAGTCATCCTGACCATATACCAAAGTGGCTGGTCCTGAAAGTACCCAACCTATCCTAGTTTCCATAGCTATGGGACCACCATACCCACGCCTTATCCTACCAGTAGCTAGGCTCCAATAATAATCCGCTCCAACTAATATATCAATTTCCCTCTCTTCTCCATAGAAAGGGTCAGCAAGATTCAATGAAGATAAATGATCTAAGTGATCAAGGCTAAGCTGTGCTGTCTTGCCAGAAAGTGGCTCACATATAATAGGCACTACAAATAAACGCAACTTCAATACTGATCCATCACAAACTTCCATTCCAATCTCTACAATCTCACATGTTTTACAACTGCCCCTTGCGGACCCAAAGGTAGCAATGGACATTGTTCTCTTGCCTTTACTGGCAAGTCTCAAAGCGGTTTTCACTCTGTCTGTCACATATGATCTCTGACTGCCACTATCTAAAATGATACGTACTCTTGCCCGATGCTCAGGCTCTCTAATATTATAAACTGTGGCTTGGGCAGTCTGTAACATAATAGTCTCATTACCGGTTAATAAAGCTGTGTTCTCTGCTAGGCATGTAGCTGTGCTCTGAGTATTAAACTCTCTTGCTTCAGGATTGAGACCAGAACTGGTGCCAGAAGACTTCCCTTCTAGAGGCTGTTGCGCATGCTTATCAGAGTCGTTTCTCGGGCATATACTAATGTGATGTCTGTTACCACACTTACTACATTTAATGCTAGATCGACATGCTACACTGACATGACCTCTTTTGAGACAAACAAAACATCTACCAGCCTTTCTCAAAAGTTGCTTCCGTGATTCTGGTGAGGTTACCTTGGGACACAAATTATGGCTATGGTTATGTTGACAGTAACAGCATGTTATGACACGATCTCCTGTGTACAGCGCAGCGGAAGTTGGCTGTTCTCTATGAGTTTTCCCGTGGGGTTGATTGGCCGCTGCGGTCCTCTCTCTAGCCTCTATCTCCTTCACTAGAGTCTCCATAAGAGACACTAGCGTCCAGTCATCACTTGATAACTGGCGGCTAATAAGTAACTGCATTTCAGTAGGCAGTTTCTTAACAAGAACAGAGGACAGCAAGCTTCCATATGATTCAGAATCAACCCCAAGTGCCTTTAACCCACGAATGTGAGTTTCCAACTGATCATAAAGCCTTCTAAGGCCTTTCACATTATATTGAGAAGTAACTGCCTCTACACTGAGTAAGGCATCCATATGCTTATTAATTATTTGCTTCTTATTGCCAAATCTCTTCTGCAGAATTGCTATGGCCTCTCTATAATTAGCAGAGCTAAGTGTTAATCCAGATATGGCTTCTTTGGCTGACCTTTCTACTAATGACCTTAGATAATTAAACTTGTCTATATCAGATATAGCATCATTTTCATGGACTGCAGACTTAAATGAGTCCCAAAATGTCAACCACTGAGTCACATCCCCATTAAAGGGACGTAGTGTTAGTTTTGGCAATTTTGCTTGACTAGAACTACTACTAACTCTTGGAGTCACAGCAGGAGGGCTTGCCCCAGCACTGGACTCAACTGCTAACTTCTCAGTAATCATGGCTAATGCCATATACATGCTGGCCTTAAAAGCATCCGCCTCTTCTATCTCTCTAGCAAGCTCATCTTCTTCTTCAATCAGGGCTAGTATTTCAGCATCAAGTATTGTGATAGTCTCTAGCTTCTCTTCCATACTTCTCTTTAACTGATTCAGTCTCGCTGACACCGTCAACGAGTCACGCTCTTCTATTGAAGCTAAAAACTCTTCCAGTTCACTCACCATCTTCTTGACAGAGCCTCTATGGCCACCTCTCACTCTCCTTTTGTGAGTAAGTCGCTCCGCCATATTTAGTCAGTAGTTTGCCCAATACCCACACGTGTCTCAATATATTTTATTCAAAAAAAAACAACAACAAAATAGTATCTATATATATATACTACACCAAATGGGTACTCACTACCAACTTCAACACCCGATTAGTATAATGGCTGAGTGTCTCGTCCAGCGATTCAGTCCGCGCTCTGATCCTTCTTTCGATCTGGTCTCTGAAAATTGTAAGACGCTCGTCTCATCGACTCGAGTAATACTCTATATTCCAGATCGATCCGGCTCTTTGGACCAGTGTCAGTTTTCTCTTATCCTTAGGTCGCCGCTGGGATTTATTCCTAGTTCTCTGGACAGTATTAAAGAACTCTTCTTTTCCAAATCAAAAAATTGTGCATGTGTTTTTTCACGTGATAACAGTTAATAATAGTTATTAATAATCTCTACACAATCACTCACAGTATCTTAATAACTTTACATCAAAAATGACTCAAACTTTCTACACAACATAAGTACATGTATATGCATCAGAAAATGTAACACAAATGGAGAATTCTCTCCTTTTCATTTTTGGCAAAATTTGGCCCGTGACCTGTACTATAGTACAGGGACTTTTGTCCGATTATTAAGTGACTTTAATAATTCATAAAAAATCCAATTTTGATCAGAATCAGCTCAAACTTTCTACACAACATAAGAACATGTATATGTATCAAGAAATGTAATAAAAATAGAGAATTTTCTACTTTTCATTTTTGGCAAACTTTGGCCTGTGACCCTGTACTATATGCAGGGACTTTGGCCCAATTTCAGAGCAACTTTTAAAATTTGTTAAAAATTCAATTTTCATCGGAATTAGATCAAACTTTCTATGCAACATAAGTACATGTATATGTATCAGGAAATGTAATTAATTAATTAATACCTTGTAATAAATGATTCCAATTGGCTATCATTAATCCTCAGTAGTGGTCTGATGTAACTCATTATCTCCTTAGTACGTCCAATATCAGGATACAAAAAAAATCCCTATGGTAACCATAGCAACTATGACACAAAAAGTGGGTGGAGCGTTACTTAATATGGTATTGTACTAGTACGTTCATGATGGCAAAGGTGATGTCCTCATTTAGTGGTAATAATAAAAATGTCAGTACTACATCATGAAGACCTTGATAGTAGCACAGATCAGTATGTGTCAC